CGTTACATAAATATGAACTACGGACCTTATTTCTACCAACCTTAACTGTTGTGATTGATAGATAAATGATAGCAGCAGGAAAATTATTGATGATAAGACGGCAGATAGGACTAAACCTAGATGTGTTGTATAAAACTGGAGACAGTCACATTCTTGTTTGTCGTTTCTATGTCCAATTACAGTGGAAGATCGGCACACATGACTGTCAGCCTGAGGTCTTCATGACCCAACTAACACTGTGAAGACAAAGGCAACTTTATCTGCTTTTTGTTTTGTCCTAATATTTTAAAACTTTTTATATTTTTTATTTGGCTCCTATTCGGAAGTGCTTTACAGTAATGGAGGTCATGTGTTGTGTTTTAATGCGATTTTTTCTCTCACCGTCTTTTCATCATTCTCAAAGGCCTCGCGGGCCTCCTCGTAGGTACAGATCTCCTCACGGCATTCCCTCTGGATATTGCCCTGCTTCAGCTCCTCCAGCATGAAGTTAGCCCTGCGCAGCCGCCGCAGCACAGAGTGGGCCGTGTCCGCCGGCAGGAACACTGAAAGGATGAAAAACAGGAAGAGACTGTGCATGATGTGAGAGACGCCGGAGGCAAAGATGAAAGACTGCATTAAGGAAGAGGGATGGAAATGTTGCAAAATGTAAATGATAAAAGGTGAAAATGGAGATTACAAAGAAAAGAAGGCAGAGGCACTGAAGACAAACTGACTTGGAACACAAGACTTTGAAAAGTGGACACAACATTCCCTGAAAATAGCAGACATGCTCGAGATTTTGAAAGTTCCAGATCATTGTGAATGTGACTGAGGAGGAAAACATCCAACCCTCGTGAAAAGGAAACAGGCAACAGCAGGCTGTGAGTAACAAAACAACTTTACTTTGAGTGTTTAAAGAATGAAGACTGAAACTTCTGTGAAGGTTTTTACACTTACCACTGCCCATGGTTCCTGCAAGTCTGTTAAAGACGATTTATCTAAAGGAACGAGAGAAAGAATTTTTTACCTGTGTTGTGAAAATTCAGAATTCTCTGTTTATGAGCTTTGGTAGATTAAAAATTAGTCACTTAAAAAACAAACACATCTGATCAGTGCTCACAACTCAAGACAATCTGGTCATCCTTTGTGACACAATCACAATCACCTGACAACAACCTCCAACCAGGTTCAAACACAAAAAAGGGGCATTTTTCAGGTTCTGCTCTCTGTCATTTACTGTCATCTAGAAAATGGGAGAACTTGTAATGGACCAAACAATTATACAACTAAAACTACCAATAATATTATTTTATATTTACACACTAATTAAGACATGTTTGAGAATCACTACCTTTGCGTCTATGATCCAAACACACAACTGTCAAATCGAATTATTAAATTATTTATTTATTTAGTATCAGTTCAACCGCTACATCAGAAATGTTAATTGAAAAGGTGACGATGTTGTTCCAGTAACAGGGCGTAGCTGTGTTGTGTTGTGTTGACCACTGACTGTATGTGACGGTGACCAATGGCGGCTGCAGGCCACAGCTACACATGGAGGTGTTGTGTGTGTGTGTGTGTGTAGGCTCCTGACATCCTCCTCCCTTCTTCTGAAAATAGATCCCCTCCCCAGCCGCGGAAGGCGTCGCCGCCTGGTTACTGATTTCTTTTTCTTTTTTTTTTTCGTTTTTTGCCCCTTGGTTTTCTTTTTCTCTCTCTTTTTTTTACACCATTTAAAATTAAAAACAATTAGAGGAAGCCTCGTTATAATTGAGTCCAAAGCTCCACTGCGGCTGCGGCCGGTGATGTTCTAACGGAGCGGACAAACGAGGTTTGACAAACGCTGATTTGTGGGATCGGCGCGCGGCGCTTCAGGCTCGAATGTTATTGAGAAGAAACGCATAATTTGAAAAAAAAAGTCCGCTGTTTAATGTGACAAAAAACCAGCACATGCCAAAAGTGTTGAGAAGTTTAACATAAATAAGCTTCATTAGTGTCACTCACCTTCTTTTGTCTCTGTACTGCGTATAAATGTTTTCGAGTCTCATCCGCTGCTCGAGGCTGCAACGCATGCGCACTGTGGTTTGTGTTTCATGGCCTGGCCCTTCCTTTCTCTTAAAGAGACAGTACACAGTGACCCGAGATGGAGACCTTCTGAGTGTGGTCATCATTGACCTTTGTTACGGTTAGTTTCAGCCACATCGAGTAAGAAAAAAAAAAGAGAGAGAAAATAATGTATTTAGTTCATAAGAATAAATATGTAATTTTGTGAACCAAGGTTCTCTTACCTGGGGTTACAGCGATTATTCCAAGAATTCCCAACTAACAGGCTTAAGGTTCTGGGTTCGAATGCAACAAGCTGCCGGTCTCTGGTATAGCTGCGTCAGGAAGTGAATCTGATGTTAAAACTCTATCACTGCAAATCAGTTCACTGACATTATAAATTGACCAGATATTCAGTGATCCCTGACCTTGTATTTCCACAGGGGGGTGCCAGAGGTCTAGGGAAAAAAAGAAGAGAAAAGCGTTAATAGTTAATAAAGCGTTTCAGTTGAGTTTAGTAAATGAAACGCTCTTACAAAAATAACCAACATATAGTTATTTCAAAATACTATTTAACTCAATCACTTTGAAGCCAGAAAATATTAGGGTTTGAATCTGTGAGCTTTTCCTGTTTCTGTATATTATTTGTATGCATTCTCTGTTGCAGTAGAAAAGTCCATTATTGTCAATGAAATGTTCACCAGTGGAATACAGTCCCTGTAGTTTGCAGTGAGATTTAGATGCACTAATAAATCCTTGGCAAATGGAGACTTGTACACAGTCAATCACAAACGATCCTCCAACTAAAGCTAGAACTTGGTCCTCAGGTCTCAGCATTAGTCATCACTGTATGGTTACGGCTGCAATCCTGCAGCTCCTCAGAACCTCAGGGTTTTTACGGTATATTAGCATTTCTTACTCAGTAAGGTTTCACTAATTACCCTGAATTTGTTTCTCATTTCTTGCGGAAAAGGTTTATTCTGGGTTCACATGATTCAATTTGCATAAAACTGTGGAAAAGACCATTTTGCTCATGAACTCGTCCGTTTTCTTGGTGGCAGCAGAAAAGACAAGTGTTTTCCATCTATTTGCCTGATGTTCTGTGTTTGCCCATTGAAAACGCCGCTCTCAGCACTAACATGCCTTCCACATGTGATCAGGTGTGTGTTCTGCAACTCAGCATTGTTACACTCTGCACTACACACTGGTGAGTTTGTGCTTCTGTGTCGTTAGACTCGTTGCCTCTCGCTCTTCCTCGCTGCTGCTCTCGTTTGTTTCCACTGAGTCTCTAGTGATTACAATCTATAATCATCACTCGAAAGACTTTGCTGCCAGGAATCATTGACCTACAATTTTTTTGGCCACACGCTCACGCGCAGACGGAATGATGGAATTAAAATTTTCACTACAACATTTTGTTTTTCTCACTTAATGACAACACCAGTCTTTTGTTTAGCTGTTAGTTAAGGAGACTAACCCGGTTATAGTATTTCTACTTTAAAGTTACTCTCAACTAAAGGACAGCGTTCTTAATAAGTATCAAAATGTAATAATCCCAATGTGATTCTCCTGAGACAGGGAATTAGCTGAACTCAATTCAAGAGAAATTAAGAAGTTTAAGCTTTTATGTCTGTGTGTGTGTGTGTGCCCACATGTGTGAGACGGTGCTGAAAAGGGGGGAAACAGGAGGAGGATCCTAGGGGCCAAAGGGGCCCCTAATGTAATGCTGACATAACATAATATATGATAATAGTTTCATGTAAAATAACATCAACATTTTTATATTAGGGGCCAAAATCCCTGTGTGTGTGTGTGTGATCTAAAACAAACGCAGTTTAAGAAACATATTTTTTAAAGGAAAATCTTTAAAACATATTTTGTTATTAATTCTAGATGTCCAGTTGCCATTATTCAATTCAACCATTACCCATCTTCCCTTGGTGTTACAGCACCACGGACAGAGACCTGTAGTTAATGACACTGTCCATGGAAAAACCCAAGGCTAACGTGTTCTCTCCAGGCTGCAGAGAACCTGATGTAGTGGATATTCAAACATAACATCAGTTCATGACAGGTCCCACAAATTCTACCTTTTTTATACTCACAGAAAAAAAGTCATGTTAACCTGCAGCTCTGCTACGTTAATAATATTTGAACAAAAATAATAGTCTAAAAATAGATAAGTTAAAAACTCTATCGTCCTTACAGACTTCACATCGTTTTTGATTCCTGTCTCCACTGGTTTTTCTAGATCCTGCTTTTAAATTTTTGTTTTCTTTTTCTTTTGCTGCTTTTTAGCCACAGACGGAGGTGACGTAGCTTTCCTTCTGAGTGGTCGTAGAATGTAACATGAATTTAGTCAGCAACTGTGCTGTGTCAAATAACAAATGTTCTTGTGTTTTATTGCAGGGGAACTTGACTGGTCCACGGTGACAAACAAGCTAGGAGCACCACTGACCTCTGACTCATCTCATTGTCAGGTGATTACTGTAAATTTCATCCTGCTCTGGTTTGAAAATTCTCATTGTCAGGTGATTACTGTAAATTCTGTCCTGCTCTGATTTGAAAATGTTCAATTCACTTCAGTTTGTCAGCACTAGGACCCAGAGGCGCAGCGGCAGCAGCGGCAGCATCGGCTGCTGCAGAAACAGCAGCATGGTGTTATTTCAGTGATAATCAGTTCTGTTCTCCACAGACTGAGTTCTGGCTCTGGACGCAGAGTGACCGCTGTTCCCCGTCCTGTAACCCACAGCGCGGGGCACAGGCGGGGGGACAAAGGCGCAACTTTTACCACAGAACACACTGGTTCTTCTTCTTCATTTTCTTTTTCTTTTTAAAGCTCAAGGTATCCCAAGTTTGACATGTCTTCATCCGTGAGCGTAACAGAGGAGGCGCGGGTGTCGCCGCTGACGCCGCTGAAGTTGGTGGGCCTGGCGTGCGTGCTGCTGGCGCTGTGCCTGGACGTCGGGGCCGTTCTGAGCCCGGCCTGGGTCACGGCCGATGACCAGTACTATCTGTCCATGTGGGTGTCCTGCTGGAAGCCCGTCATATCCGCGGAGTGGTCCTGCAACAGCACACTGGCCGCAGGTGAGAGACGCGCCGTTCATGTGACGCGGTGAACCTGAACCATAATGTTGTTAAGAAGTTTGAAGCAGGGCGTAGCAGCGCGTGAGCCGAATCAAAGCATCCTCCCAGTGAAACAGAAACAGCAGCAGCAGGAGGTGCACACGTTCATGAGAGTCAGTCTGTCGAGAGCATCAGGGATAACAAAGAGTCCAGGGAGACTCACAAACCAATCTGTTCTGGATGAGAATTAAGACTCTCCACTCCAGAGAGTAGTAATGCTAATCACGTTATAATTAACTCCTGCCTGGTTAATTTGCACTGCAGAATTATATATTATGAAACATAGATATATGTCTATATACGTTTATACTAACCCTAATCTCCGATTCGGTTTAATTGAAAATCTGGATATGCCAATCAAAAGTTTTTTCCTCAAACATTTGTCCAGTGCAACACTCAAAGATCTGGGACTTTTGCTTTGCCAGTAGCGGTCCAGCTGGGGTTTCATTTGGCCTTTTGTTGCACACAAAATGGGCCTTTGTGTGGGTTTCTCCTGCGGCCAAGGACCGAGGGCAACTTAGAGCAGAGAACTCCCCAGAGGTCCAGATGCCTGGAGATTAGTAACCAGGGAAACAAGTGAAGCACTCCAGAAATGCTGATGCCCTCTATTAAGGAAATGTCTGCATGGATTCTCCACAGTCGGCTTCTCATAGATGGATTTCATATTTCCAGCACAGCTGTGCATGCAGGGAGGAAAAAAAGGGAAGGTGGATGAACTTGGGCTGTTGTTCATAACTGTGTGAATACAAATGAGTTCTTAAGTCAGGGAACGCTTTAGGATCCAGACAACAGGCCTCACATGTTCATGTGTATACAGGTTTTAGAAATGTTCCAAACTGATTGTGAAGCTCCATCAAAGTAGTTTCTATTTTTGCCGAGAAGCTTTTGGTGTTAAAACATCTTTCAAGGTATTTATTTGAAAGCGTAGCCTGAAGTAGCTAAAAGTTAGACCACAAAAAATTACAGATAAACTTAAAAAAAACTTGGCCACAAACGTTTTTGATAACGTCTTGATTGAACAGAAGTAAAACTAGCTGAACATGTTTGGTTAACAGTACAAGAAACTATCAGTTAATTGTCAAGCAACATTATAAATCAGGAGAGTAAAAGAAATATCAAAAATAACTCAAACATTCATTCATTCAAGTCAGAAGAGAATTCAATATTATTGGCCCTGAAATAATCCAAATGTCTTTGGACTTTTTTGTCACATTGACCTGATTATGTCATTGCAAGACAAAACGATTGATCGACATAACAACAAATGTCCAAACTCCACCGAAGGCCTCTCTGCTGGACCTCGGACCGGCCTGTCCAGAGTGGTCTTATTTACAATAGTTTTTTTTTGTTTTACAGTGTTGACTCCAGAGCATTCATGTTTTCTTTCAAATATTTTCCAGTCTTAACATTGACTTAACGTCCAGATCAATGTCAACAGCTTCTGGTCGCTCCACTCAGTGGACAGTCGTGTTTGTGTTCGTCTGACATAATGTTTTCTGTCTGTCTGTGAGACACGTAACTGCGGGTCACGTTGGCTCTGGTCGGCCTTCTGTCAGTGCAGACAAAGTGCACTTTGGTGCCATATAAAGACATGCAGTCTCTGTCTCTGCTCTGAGCAGCAGCAGCAGCAGCCTCAGCAGCAGCAGCAGCAGCAGCAGCCTCAGCAGCAGCAGCAGCAGCATACCACACACAGCCAACTGCCCATTTCCTCAGGCTCGTGCTTGGCTAACCCGATCGATTTGAACCCCAGTAATCAGTTTCCACCTTCTGCACCAACCTGATGTTTTCTCTGTGTCATGCTCTGGGCGTTAAACAAATCCTGTTAGCGTGAAACACCAGCTGGTCCCTCAGATGTTTTTCCAGCGTGTACTGCAAGGCCAGCATGTTTCCGCGGCTGCCGCGTGAAGCAGGGAACAAAAATGACATATTGCTTCGTGCTGGACTCATGAAGTGCCACTTCTGTTTGGAACGTTCCACAGAAACATGCCGTTTTAAGTCAGGAAACTGTGGCAAACGATGTCAGGTGGCGATCTGACACTGTAGGTTAGGAATGTGGTATGATGTGTGTGTGTGTAGATGCCAGGTCGGTGTGAAGGAGGGATGAATGTGGAGACAGAGTGTGAGTAAGACTAGCTCGCTCGGATACAAGGAACTCAGAGGTTATTAATAATTGAATTCCCTATCGATTCTGGATTGGCCCATTGTCTCCTTGAATGAGGTCACAGCCGTTTGAAGAATGAACGCTGCGATCTGGTTACAGATTATAATTCCACCTGGGATGGCCCTCGGAAAAAGATTAGAAGTGACCTAAGGGCTTCAGGAGTCAAGGTGTGTTTAATGTTGACAGTTGTTGAATTCCTCACTGGAATACCTACAGGGACAGCCTTTAAAAAGTAGTCAAGAGCTGCTTCATCTCATGTTGACTAGAAATAACTATCATCATTTAAAAACTTATTATACATTAGGTAAGAAGAAAAGACAGACAGACTACAGATCCTTAGCATACATTAGGTAAGAAGAAAAGACAGACTGACTGCAATTAAAGAAAATATTCCCCCCACCGACACAGACCAACAATGCGGTCCCCAGGGGGAGACCTGCACCCCATTTTTAAACATTGCTCTATTGGTGCAGACCAGGCAGATCTACTACAGATCCATAGAGAGGTTGAGTATATAAACATTTGTGTGACAGTGATCAAAATCCCCCGAGGTTCAGCTGTGACACAAATCTTATCCACGACAACAGAACAGAGCCGGTCCTTCAGGCTTGTTGTGATCAACACTACATCAGTTCGTACGTGCAATCAGGGAACCTTGATTAATGCTCAGATTAAATCTTGTCCGCTGTATTTCCTTTTTTTATCTGTCATCATGCAGCGCTCTGATTAATAGTTTGGCACTTCCTGCTCCTCAGAGCCTTCGAGCTCCATAATTCTGTCTGTTTTCTTGCTACCACATGGAGGGTGTGTTACAAATCTGCATCCAGAGGGCTCTCAGCAGGCGGCTGTTTGGTGGGCGCACGGATAAGATACTGATTATCCTGCTGGGGTTGAAAAGCACCAAACAAACCAAGGAGATTCTGTATCTCTGTAACGATTTGCATCGACAGCTGCAGGTCATGTTGCTGCAGCCTTCTTACTGGGCAGCAGCCAGGGAAATGTAAGAGGTCACAGACAGAGAGAGCGACGGCTGCTCTGAAGGAAGGCCTGGGGAAAAGGGTGCTCTGCTCTCCTTCCCACATCCTGCGGTGACAGGGCCGACGTTAAAGTCCAAAACTGAATCCGTATTTGGTCAGAAGTAGTTGATGTTTGTTTATGTTTGAGCTGCTTGGCCCTCGGAATATTATCTCCCTTCAACAAGAGTGGGAACTGTTCTTTAAGGAGCTTATGTTTCGTCACTTTCTCCTCGCTGCCGAATGATTTTCTGCCTCGGCAAACAGGAAATATCGTTGGCGGTGCTTCGACTCTTTATACTCTCTGCCTGAAAGAGAACATTTGAACGTATTTCTGTTCAGTTCTTTACCTAATGTAATTCTGAATCCCTGGTGTAAAGCTCAGTCCGTTCTGTGTTTTCATGGTATTTATTTCCACAGACTGTACTTTCAAGCATTTCCTCCCTTGTAATCAGAAGCTTCGTCACAATATCCTCTGCCTGTTTACGGCTACACCTCCTGTTTTCACAGAGGAGGTGCTCAAGAGAAATCTCTAAACAATAATACTCTGCTCTTTAATTATCTTTGTCTCGGATAATTACATTTTAGTTTGTGTTTGATTGAATTTGATTGAATTGACTTGTTTTTCTCTCTCTGAGTCCAGAGAGTTCATTATATACAGCTTCACACAAACATGTGAACGTATTCACAGTCAAATCATTCAGAGATGGTTGAATCTTGATGATTCAGAATAATTCTGTGCTGAAACCTGTGCATTTTGTCTTGAACAGGCAGAGAGGCATCAAAGTTTTATGAAGCTTCATCAAGCTAAACATTTGGTTTAGATTTCTGTCAATGTTCATTATGTTTAAAATAAGTGATGGTTCTCACTACCTTTATAACATTTGTCACATCATTCCTACATGGATTTGTTAATAAGATAATAGACAGACCTGCTGTAAAGACCGACCAACTTTATCTCCTTGACTGTAACTGGAGAGAAATGGAGCTACATCAGCGCTCCCTCCCATGACCCCTCACTCTCTGAGAACCCCAGTTTGTGCTGCGTCTCTGTAACACAGGTTAAATAACAAGGCTGATATGAAAGGACTGGAGCCAACGTTACTCTTCAGGGCAGAAAAATATGACTTTTCTGCTGTTGTGTTTGTGTGTGTGCTGCACTGAGAGACAATCACAGTACAGTGTGTGTTTGTGTTACTGAAAAAGGATCCAATTCTTACTGTGTGTGTGTGTAGAATGACTCACACACAGACAGTCTAATGTGAACTGTGGTTTTTGGATCAGGCACCTATGAAATAGGGCTGCTGAGCTGGTGTCAGCTGAGACGGACGGCTTTCCCTGAGTCACCTCACTGATTCACTGCAACAACTTTACTGCTGGACTGGACTGGACTGGACTGGACTGGACTGGACTGGACTGGACTCCATCCCTGGACCTCTGGAATCTGTGTCTAACCAGGTCCAGGCTCTGGTGTTTGTTTCTGTCAGCCAGAGACTCCATTGTTCATATTCAGGGTTCAACACCACATGGTTCACATTCTTCTCCTGCCTCTGGTTTTGGATACCCTGCAGTGACCCTCATCACAACGGCCCGGGCCAACATCAGCCCTTCAGAATATGTGAGAGGAACTGTGTCATCTCCCGAACCACAAATAGTTAGTGTTTACACTGCGGTGTTATTCGGTTTTCTCTTGTGGGATTCTGAGCTGTGCAGTGTTTCTGCGGCTCACCACTGTGGCCTGTGACCTACTCCAGATCTGTCCTCTTTACTCCGTTGATCCCGTCTCATTTGTCTCCCCGCTCTCCTTTCTGCTGTCAACGACACAGACACAGCTCCGCTGTAGAAGCTCGTCTTCTCTGCCTCTGTCACCCTCCATCAACGCTCACCCTTGTTTCTCTGTGTTTGTCTCAGACTGGCAGATCGCCACGCTGGCCTTGCTGTTAGGGGGGGCAACACTTACCCTGATCTCCTTCCTTGTGGCACTGGTGTCGCTGTGCTGTGGATCCAGACGTCGCTGCTACAAGCCAGTGGCCGTGATGCTGTTCTCTGCAGGTACGTACGACCTTTGACCCCTTCAGGCAGAGCAGAGAAGACCGCGTCACAGTCAGAAAGAAATGCAGACACACAGTTTTCTCCTGACAAATATCATGAACACCATAGCTTCATATGAGAAACTTGCATTACTTATTTCAACAAACACATTTTAAGGTTAAAAACTTCAGTGTGAGTTTTCAGGGTTTAGGCAGAACCGTTGCCACCTGTCACTGCCGCCTTGTGGGGTTAGTTCTTCACCAGTCAGAGTTAACTAGGTGGAACGTTTGGGCTGAATCGGTTAAAAGTCAGTGCAACACAGTGAAAATCAAAAGAAATAAAAATGATTCTTGCAACAAGGCAAGACTAATGAGTAGGCTGTGTTATCTCATCATTTCCCACTGGACTCCTGACATTTATTAAACAACTGATGACGTTGATTTAGTTTGAGTGTTTAAAGAACATTTTCTTCAAAATATTAATATTAATGCTAAGGAATAACCCTTCAAGGTCAAGTTACATATACACAAAAGTACTCCCTTTGTAATATTTCAATTTCATGGTACACTATTGTGGTGGAGTCCTTGCCCCCTCCCACCCCCCCCTTACTTGTTATGACAATAGGTTTGGAATTTGAAGTTGCCATGTCGTCATTGTCTGGGTTTTTCTTTAGAAGACTTGAGTAGAACAAGAGGAATATCATGTAAACATCCTAAATACGGTTGTTTTAGTCAGAAAGTAAAAATAAAGAGGTGTTCAGGCCATTTCAAATGTGAATGCATGTTTTGTTTTTTTCAACTCCTCTTTTCAGATAGTTGGTGTTCTACATCACAGCTGTTCTTCAAACCTACATACCGTGTGTTCTGTCTCCTTTTTCGCAGTTGTTCTTCAGGTGTGCAGCTTGGTCCTTTTCCCCATTAAGTTCATAGAGAGCGTCAGCCTGAGAGTCTACCATGAGTTTAACTGGGGTTACGGCCTGGCCTGGGGATCCACCATCTTCTCCTTTGGAGGTGCCATCCTCTACTGCCTCAACCCAAAGCACTATGAAGACTACTACTAAAATATGTGATTCAAGTGCAGCTCCCAGGATTCACCAGGTCCAGTGAGTCATAGGAACCTAATGTTACACCGTGAACATTCACAGACTTTCACATTCTGGTCGTTCGTTACTGCAGTGTCTGCAGACAAAACAGGTGATCAGTCATTTCAACCTTGCCAGAATACGTACAGCTTTCATGATTTGTGACCAAAAAGTACAAGTGATTGTTGGTAGTATTGAAGGAGTAATACTATTTAGGTCAGCGGTCCAAAACTGAACTGAGCTAGGGGCCACTGCTTCTACTGTCATTTTATTGGAGGGCCACAGTAGAGTTTGAGTAATACATATAAAAGTTATTTCCAAATATGATGTTTTTACTTAATCACAAATATTGTAAAAAACAAGTTCATATTTTGTTTCATTCCTTATTGACTAACTTAATAATTTTATAAACTTACAAATACAACTTTTTGGAACTTTCCTTCTGGCTAACAATGTCGATGGACACAAACATAGCAACTCTTCTGTCATTTCAAACCTGTCCTCTGCTCTCTTTTGGTTCTTAAAAATAGTCATTTTATTACTGACCTGGATGTTAAGGGATCCGTGGGCCTGAAGTGGCCCCTGGGCTGGGATTTTGCGTTAGGGTGCATGAGTGGCTGGTAATTGTGATTTAAGATTTGAAAGAAGCTTCTGACACTAGTTGAAAAAAGACATCTACAACTAACTAGGTATCATGGTGCCATACTCACAAACTCTAAGTGTGTGTCCTCTTTAGGTCCAACTCCAGTAGGTCATTAGATTTCAGCTGAAAACCTGGTGGGAACAGACGGTTTCAATGACCCCCATTCATGGACCAAATATGGACTAATCCACCAATCAGAGTAGGAGGTAAGGAATGGTGGGAACTCTATGAAAACAGGGTAATTTTTAAAGAAAAGAGACGTTACATTAAACCTTAGCTGCAGGAAAATGAAACACAGGCCACAGAGGAAATTTATAGTAGCCTGTCAGTCTGTTACAAACAGTCTGATAACAATAATCAAGAGTCGAGTCAAGCTCAGACGGCAAAAACATTCCACTACACTAATGAGGGACTTCCACTCCTACGTAGTTAAACTAAAACCCCTTTCAAAAAAGAGCAGTTAAAACAGCTTTTTGATAAAATTGTTGTATAATATGCTATCAATATTGATTATATTCATTCCAGTCAGTGCAGCGTGAAGTAAGGCAACAAATGACCAGGCCGGCCAAATGTGTGTGCATGAGACCATGATGGCATCTCACATATCATGTGCCAAACACACACAAACCCTTCCCATGTGATGCCTGCTTATCTGTACGCTGTATAATAAAGGACATTTAGTGTGTAATTAGTTTTTGCATCTCAGTTAAACTTTCATGGGAAATGGCGTTGGTTAAGTGATGTGATAAAGAAACTAAAGTTTCAAAGCTGATGGACCACAGACTACCATATTTAATGATTCTCCTCCAACTAGGGCTGTAATCAACCAAAGAAAGTCTTGGCCGACTGAAGCCGTGAAATTTTGAGGGGAGGGGCAGTTGACTGGGACATTACAGCCCTACCTCCAACCTTAGTAAAGGTCATCGGAAACTTAATGGAAGAATGCGTGTGCATGTCACTACCATCAGCTGCTGTATGTGAGTTCCACTGGATTAACTATTAACAAATAAACCATGTACTGTGGAAAGCGTCTGATTTCTGACTGGGAAAGAGGACATGAACTATGAAGAGAGACTGATCTGACAGTGACAGTGGAACCACATTGAATCAGACTGTTTATTAGGTACAGCAAGTTGAGATATTTGCACGGGAAATCACCATTTATCTGTCTTAAAAAATGAAAGTTTCTCAAAAATGAATAAAAATGCAATAATTTGACCTAAAATACATAGTGAGACCTTTTCTAAATGTTAAAATTCAGAGAAAATATATTTTCGGTACATTGACTATTGATAAGAATACTATACTGTACAAAACTAATTAGAATCAGAATCAGATCATTCACCAAAAAAAAATTTGATAAAGAATTGATAATTTTTTTTAATTTTTCAGAAAAAAAAAATGGGAACATTTTTTTAAAAAATGTTAGGGAAAAATTAAATTTTTTTTTAATTTTTCAGAAAAAGCAAATTGTTAACAATTTTTAAAAAAATGTGTAAAAAAAATTTGTAAAATTTCTTTTTTTGAAAAATGTCTAAATTTTTTTTTTTTAATTTTTAGAAAAAAAAATGGGGAAACATTTTTGGAATAAAAATTAAAAAAAAAAATTGTGAAAAATGTCTAGAAAAAATAGAAAAAGACGGGAAACATTTTTGGAATAAATTTTTTAAAAAATTGTTTCCCGTCTTTTTCCATTCTAGTTTCCCGTCTTTTTCTATTTTTCCCTAACATTTTTACTTTTATTTTTT